GTGCAAACCTTCTAGTTAAAGTATTTACAAGCTCACTATAAGATGGGGGAAAATTAGTATTTATAGCACCAATTGCTGCAAGTGCATCATTTTGCATGCAAGAAATTAATTTTAAAGCTTTAATTTCACTAGACCAGCCATTTAATTGTGCAACAATCTCAAAATGCACTTTATAATCTGACCAGTTTGATTTCCCGTCATAACTGTTGGGTTTGGTGTAGCCAACATTCCCTGAATTATGGTTATTAAAACTAATGCTTGGGCTAGATGCAACATTTATTGGTTTGTCAATCTGCGGACATGTAACAGGTACTGGTTTCATAAACATGCCTGTACTTGGTGTGGTCTTAGTATTTTCAATAGGTATGAAGGCACTAGGAACATGACCTGATGTAAGGTTCTCAGGGTTTTGTAGGTTTTGGTTGTTTGATTTATTTTGGTTATTTATTTCATGCACACTAGGACCAGAACTAGCAAGATGGTATCAACATTTGAACTTGGAGATGGTTTATCATTAAAACTGGCTTTCAAAGGGAAAAGCTTATCTAAAATATAATCAGCTTGCTTTTCCATTGCTGTAGTGAGTTTCCCCATTTCACCATGAAGGTTCACAAAATTATTTTCTAATTTTGTGTTGATTTCCACAGATTGATTTTCTAACTTTGTATCAAATTCTTTTGACATGTCACTTAATCTGGTGTTAAATTGTGATGACAGGTTCTCAATTTTTCTATTGGTATATTCATTATAATTATCAAATTGGTTTTTGAATAGTTGGTTCTCTTCAGCTTGGTCATTTAAACCTTTGTGTAAATGGCTAACAATACCAGTTAATACATCAAATTTGGTTTGTATAGTATTAAAATCAGGTGGTTGCACGGCAGATGGTGATAATATTTCAGGAGAGGTCATATTTGTATGGGAACTTTGACCGCTTAAAATTGGTGATTCTCTTGCACTTGAAGCTTCAGATCCAAATGCACTATTTTCACTCATTTTATGTCAGTAGAGTTAATAAAATTTAAACTTTTACTTAATTTTATGTTTCACTTTATGTCAAGAAAAAAAAACTGGGTTTATAAATCGAATCCCACCGCCGGTCACCAAATGTAACGCCTCTGGTATAGCATTACGAAGCTTAATATTTTGTGTGTGTGTGTGTATATTTAATTGTTTTACACGAAATAAAAATCAACCTTGGTAGCAGGCCTTTCAATAACTTTCACTGGTGATTGTGAAACTGCAATGGTAAGTTGCAGAACTTGGTAGCTGGACTGAGCAGTCTAAGACACTGGTTTCTTATTCTTAATAAGATAAAATATAACAAAAACAGTTATAAGTTTAACAATGACTATTTAATCAGTCATAATTCAATATATATATGTTATAAATAAATAACCCCAGAGCGAAAACAGTGCAGAGACCCCCCTTGGACGTTATTCTTCGTGCGTAAACATGGGAAAAGTTGTAGTATTATAGTAAATAATTAGGTCACTTGGTCAGGTCATAAATATATATATATAATCGGGGTAAACATTAACCTGGTAATGGTTTGAAGATGATGGTTCACAGGTGGTTCGCTCTGGTAATATGGTATGTGGAACAAAAATGGTCAAGGTTCCTTGAGCTGTGAACTAACTAGAATCGTCTGCTACAACCGTTTATATAGTACCGGAAGTCCGCGGACACAGAAAGTGTGTCCGTTACTATAGGGATAAGTGTGTCCGGCGAAATAACGTAGTGATTGGTTATTAAATCACATATACATAGTAAAGGGCTCTGGAAACTAGGCCATCTCCGTTTGGTCTTTAAAACCGGAAGTTCCCACGGCAATAATATAGAAGATAGCGCAAAAACAAATAGGAATGTACAACTGTCGAGGGAAAAAGGGTGATATGGGCTTATCAAGAATAACCCTTAGTGGGAACGTACCCTGGTTACAATATAGACCCTTAACGTGATCGCATAAAACAGGTGAGCAAATGGGACAAGCGATATACAGGTCAAACTAAAGCTGGGAACATGTCAAAGTACCCCCCTGGTCAAACAGTGAGAACGAACCCTGTCCTAACTATATTTCCCATAAACAATAATATAATACATACAATACAATATAATACGGCCGCGATACCTGAAATATAAAGTGTTCATCTCCATAGTCCTTTCGTTCATAATATATACAACAGTGCAGCTCAGAGTAGCGGAACACGAAAATGAAAGTGAAAGTAAAAGTGAAATCTCTGAGCAACACAAGAAAAGAATAAAACATGATACATATAAACCTATCATCCTTAACTCCTACCCTTAGGCATAACAATATTTTTGTATCCAGATTAATATTCTTGTTTATATTCAGTTTTTATATGTTGGAATAATAGAAGTTTGCTATTTTGATCAAGTGATGATATTTTATTGTCATATACTTCTTTATATCTTTGCACAAGATCATTAGGCCACACCAATTTGATTTTAGTTCTTCGGACAAAAGCTCCAAAAAATATGGGGCGAGCGAGCGAAATATTTTTGATTGTATTTATTTCTTGAAAATGAGTTTTGTTGAGGCGGGTGCCCTACAAGTGGAGCGAGCGGTATAATATTTTTTTTAAATTGTGCGATTTAGAATTTTATGTACATGTAAAACTGGTTACTTCAAAGAAAAAGGAAGATAAACATGCTCTTATGCATATAATTTGATGTATTTGTAACTGTAGTACAGTCTGTACCACACCCAACTTTCTGGTTCGCTTTGGTTTAGTATAATTTTGATTATTTTCGTCAAATAATCTCTGACTGCGTGAATTTTCATTAAAAATTAAATTCATACATGCGTATATATTAAGGAAGCATAGCAGATGCAGTTTAGCAAGAGGAACTATGTTAGTGAGGTAAATTTAAATGAAATGTGTTGAATACAATTAAAGTATGTGTATGTATTCCAAAAAATGCCCTAGAAAAATATTAATTATCTTTTGATATAGTTGTTTTTATTATATGGTAATGATTGTTTATTGGCTGCTTGACATCCAGTTGGAACTATTTACTAGTATCCATAAGTAGGATCAACATAATGAGGAAGGTGAATAGGTCAACAACATCCTCAGTAAGATAGTTATATTGTTATGCATGTAGATCTCAATTCATTAAAACATTCCCTTAAAATACCGTTAACCACATTCACATGCATTATTCTGACTTAGCAAAATACTTTTTCCTTTTGCCCCTGAAACCTGCAATATATTTCAAACTGTAAGTGGTTGCACCAATAACACATCCCTAATTATTATTAGCATGCCAATCCAAATACCACCACTTTGGTCTCGAACGTGTTCCCATACAAAAGAGTTCTGATTGCATGTCAATAGACTAACAAGGGGATATGAGGTTTTCATCAAAATAAGATTAATCTGTCATTTTTTAAAAACTCATGTGAATTTAATATTAATTTCATCCAAGACAGAAGGCTCTTTCTATGTCTGTTGTAATCCGAGATTACTCTGACGTCCAACGGCTGTTTTGCAGGACAAGCTGGGGCCGTGGGACAACAGCGCCCCATCTTGTCTGGCAAAACAGCCGTTGGACGTCAGAGTAATCTCGGACTGTACATGTGTCTGTTGAAACAATGATCGGGTATGACAATGGTTCTAACTTCTAACAAGTACTGATGTGATTGTAGTCACCTAACGAAAGATTTTTTATTTTTGTCTCCTAGAACAGGTCTTCATAGGTAAAACGAAACGCGTTTAAAATAACTGTGTGTTTAATAACTACTTGTCCTCGGCAATGATCTGACACAACTTCATGTTGGCATCCCGATTTTTGACCTTTTATTTACAAATCGATTTATCACACGTGCGTTTGAATCGATCGGAGCAATATATGCACAAGAAAAACGTCTAAAAGAAAAAAAATGTCAAGGATAAACTAATTTTGGAGCGGCATGCGGCCCAAAAATTGGCGGAAGCGGTAATTATTTTTTTTTTATTGAAAAGTCAATTTCTCCAAAACAGTAGCGGGAAAATCCAAAGAACTATTAATCAAATAGGTGTGGCCTAAGGATACATTCGTCCTATTTTGGATTTTTGTTGTACAATTTGGTGAAATACCAGTGCTCAAAATACTGGAAATTTCAAAAAGGGCGACTTCATAGATACATTAATATTGTATAAAAGACAAAACAACAAGCTTTTTACATAATTTTTAAAATTAGATTATTAAATTATTGGGTAGATTACAATGATGTCAAGGTCGTACATGCATTATTTCAGTTGGAAGATGCTAATCTAGTAATAAAGGAAAACTATTTACGTTTTCTCAACAAAATAGAAGAGATGGACTGGAGACTAAATTGACATATACTTCTATTTTAAACATAATATATTTATCATGTACTTATGGAAGTTTAAAATATGGCAACCTGTTGATATTATTTTTGGCCAAACATTGGACCAGTTATTAGAGAAATCAGTTTTGGTACGCGATTACAACGTCATATAGAACATATTGTGGACATTCCAGTGTTGTTAACGTTTTCATTTCTAATCAAGAGTTCTGACGTCTATTTATAACATTCCTGATTCTAATTATCAGTTCGAAGTATTGAATTCTGTATATTTATTCATAATAAAATATTTATTAACTTCAATATGAGTGTATTTATGTTCAAATATAGCCTCGCTTATTTACAATTACCGTAAAGATAAACATATAAGATCTTTGGCTTAAAATACTTAAGGGTTGTTGGTCATCCCGGAGAGCTACTGACGCAATGGTTAATATAAACTCAAAAAGTTTATGCATTTTTTATTTATTTCTCTTGGCAGTAACAGGTATTTATTAATTTATGTCTTTTGTCTAAATCATGTTATAGTTTCATTGTCTGTGTTCCTAATGATTTTTTTTTGTTTCCATCTGTTGTTTAAGAAAACAAGTTTAACTTTGATTCCAATTCATTTATTAAAACTGATCCCTTATCAGTTTTAAAACTCTTTTCTTTGTTTTAGATATTACTTTGTCTAAACACCATAATTCAAAAGAGCATAGCTATGGTAATGGACATGGTTATGGACACGGACATTCTCAGACGCATTTTGGACAGGGTCATGGTCATGATCAGGACCAAGATAGCAAAGGTCACAATTCGAACGGTCATGGGCATGGCCACATCAATGGTCATATAGTCTCAAACCTCGGTCACCTACTAAATGGCTACAATGTGCCATTAAACTACAATTTATTAAACCACCAAACAACTAAACAGTCAATTACTACAGAAAACCACGTTCATCAGCAAAATAAAATCTATTTTGAAAGTTGGCAAGCTAATTGGTGGAATAAACATTTAGATATCTGTGGAAAACAAGAAGTAGAACCACGATTTTCATTAAGCAGAATAATAGGAGGAAGGGAAGCTATAAAAGGTAGCTGGCCATGGATGGTATGTTGTATTATACTATTTTGATCATAGACAACAGTACAGTGATATATATTATGGAATGTTGATCAGTCTTTTTTTATTCTTTATTTCATTCAAGCGTGTTCAATGTTATGCATTTATTTATGTTCGTTAATGAATAAAAGAAGACGCAATTTGTATTTCAATGAGACAAAATCCCAGATTTTTAGCAAAGCACTATAAAATATGTTGACATCACATATCCATGTAGATATTGCACTCGTATGTCTGTTGTCGGTTAACGTTTTATATTTTTCTTATTACTAAAATTATGTTTTAAAACAGAAATTAGCAAATATGATCTTACAAAGTCCTGGTCCAGTGGTATAGGTAAATGATGAGGAATATAAGTCAATGAGTCAGCGACCCAACAATAAAAACTCAAAAGATATTTAGAGGTTACCATAAGCTTTTTAACTAAATGACCATTCCATATGTCACGCTCTCATTCACCCAAGTCTAGACAAGCTGTGTTAAAATTTAACTGAGAATGCCAATTATCCGCCACCAACATCAAATCACATAGCGGACAAAACGATATAACTTAAGACAATCACTGGAAAGGTTCCTGGTTTGGAATGCGCATATGTAAATGTGGTAGGTTATTTAGATTTTTAATAGTTAATGTACGTATTTCAAAATATAAAGAATGTCAGTTCCAAAAAAAAAGAAAAGAAAAGACACATGACTCTATAATATGGATATGTAATAAAATTAACAGGTGCTAGAAAAACAATATTTATCATTCAATTCAAAGAATGCTCGCAGTTTAAGAAAGCAAGCACAAAATATTAAATAAACTGATCTATAAATCATGCGATCGTATACTCTGGGCCGCAGTACTTCCGAGTAAATTTAAATTTGGTGTTTATTTGGGTTCAATTTGAATCGCTCTCAGATGTAAAGGCTATACATATTCGGAACCTACTGGGTTAAAGCTTCAATTATTTTCTTCTTGAGAATTGATCAAGCAATGAAAAACATGTATAGCAGAAAATATGCTTGTTAGACATTCAAGTTCTTTTTTGTATCTAATGTTCAGAAAATGTGACCAAATATGGACGACTGGAGTTCTCACTGAACAATCCGAACTATATATATTTTTCTTCTTGACCTCATTTAAATAATGGAAACAATGTATATTTAAAAAGTTGCTTATCAGACATTCCAATATTTTCAATACATTGGTGCCAATTACTAACCCCCATTGGATATAGTGCAATCTATATACCACCAAAAAAAAAAACCAAAAAAAACGAAATTTGCTAATGCTTAAACTTCTTGTGTTGTATTGATAAAGAATTACCGAATAGCAAAACAACAAAACTGCTTTAAAATAATTGATTTTACATAGGATCATTATCATTATGTAAGCAAACAAGCAAAATGTTTTTTGAGAAAAAAAACCCCAAAAAAAACACATGTCCAAAACAATCGAATTCAAGTTTTTAATGATTAAATATTTAAATGAAATACCATTGTTGTGACTTAACAAAATCAGCTTCAAAACTTATAAGCAAGAAGTGAATACATACCAACACAAATTAATATGTTTTACAATGATTTTCTATCCAGTAATATGATTGTTCGTATAACCAGAAACTGTTTATGTGTAGACAGTTAAAGTTAACACTTTCCCGGTGTCTTGGTTCTATTACACCGTTTTCTGAGTATCTAAAACCGAATTATTTCAGATTTCCTTGTTCAACAACCTTCTCAGACAGCCAACTTGTGCAGCAGTATTAATATCAGAACAATGGGCATTAACAGCAGGTCACTGTTTTTCAAGGTACTTTTATATTTTATGATATTGAAAGTCACACATTTAAGAAAGTTGAAAATATTTTACATACGTCGAATGAGCGTAACTTATTTTAGTAATGAAATCCTGTACCTGTATTCTGTATTTTTATATGTTTATATAAGTATAATTCAAACTTGGTAGAATGTTGTTATCAAACATAACACATTATTTAAAGTATAATTAATTTTGGTGGAAAACACATGATTCGAAGTTAATTTTTACAATGTTACTCCTTGTAAATAAAAATATTGAAATGTAGACTCTTAAAGGCTCCTAACATATATATACTAGACACTACACTAATACTGTACAGCCTTAAGAATGACAGAAGGATTCCGTGAAAACTAGGTGATCCGTAAGTAATCGAGAGCTTAATCTGTAATTAAAAAGGTTATTCAGGCAAACTGTTGCTTGGATGGTTTCAATGATACAGGGGTCAAAATAAAATATTAAATATACGAAACTTAATTTCATACCATATCTTCTTCAAAAACAAAATATAAAGACATTTGAAGAGGATCATGAATCCTGCCTGAACAGGAACATGCATGATTTTTACAAAGACAGGTACTTAACCACTACAGATTAATGAACCATAGTCAGCTCTACATCAATAGCATAACGAAAATACCCTGACAAGTAAAGTAAGAACAAGAGCCGTTAATCAGTGAAAAGAAGGTTGCTCGGAAGGATGTAACTCACCATTAACACAGCCCATTGAGTGGCGGGGGTATAAAAAAGATGAGTTTTATTTGATACGTTTATTGCAGGATGTTTGACAACGAAACGTTTATAACTGCTAGGATAGGCCTGCACAATGCTTCTGCGTTTGCTGAAGATCCGAATGAGCAAGCATTTAAGATTATCAAAGTAATAAAACACCAAGGAATGGATGCAAGCAATGTACCTTTTAATAATGATATTGCTTTACTCAAACTTGACCGGACTGTGTCATACAGCTCTGCTGTTCGACCGGTATGTCTGCCAGATAATACAAACATAGACCCAACAGTATGTGCTATTAGTGGATGGGGACGTTACAGAGGTGAGATATGATGTGCAGATCGCTTTTATAACACTTACTTTTGAATACACAGTGATCTACACTACATGTGTATGCTTTATATTTTCAACTTTTACACCATTTTATCATTTAAGCTCTGAATAGCACTGGTTAAGGTTTACAAAACTGTAAAGCGCTATTGAAAGAATTCAGTGTTGAAAATATAACCATGAGACTTAAAAAGTACCCATAATGAAAGATATATTTGCTGATTTATTCAATTAAATAAGGCAGTCGGACCTTTTTTCTAGTATATGTTTTTTTTTAATCATTTGAAGAACCAAGAAAGACACCCGATCCAGATGCTTGGCCGCAAATTTTACAACAAACCCGTGTTCCAATACTTCCACAAGATATATGTATGTCAAACTATAAAAATAAAATCACAGACAATATGTTTTGTGCCGGATATGAACAAGGAGGTGTCGACGCATGTCAAGTAAGTTTGCTATCTTTTAAAATAAATATGAAAATATATTATATGCCTTTTTCATACAGATTGATTAAATGTGATTCATATGATAAGTTTTCTAGTCTATATTTTAGCTTTTCAAAACAGTGATGTTCTTCAAAGCAATTTCAACTATACGGAAACTATCATTAATTGTTATTGATTTTTCAATATATCAAAACATGTATCATGTCTGCATTTTATTCGAAGTAACACAAACTTTTACTTGATGCTGACCTTTGATAATATATATATAGTCCAGAACACATTGTATAAATATCCTTAACTGAGCAGTAAGATTTCTTTATAGGGTGACAGTGGTGGGCCTTTACAATGTCAGGAAGATGGACGCTGGTGCTTAAGAGGTAATCATTACTATTTGACGATATTTGGTGACGAATGAAATGTTAGTGTGTGCATGTTTTCTCTCTCTCATGGAAGTATATATGTAACACTCAGAAACGTGTCCTTCCCCCCAAACGTGTCCGATTCCCCCAAACGTGTCCACATCGACGTCACTGAACTGCAAAACATGTCTTGTTGTAAAAGGGCTCCAAAACTTGTCATTTGTATAAACGCCCAAAAGTGTCCAATTTCCCAAACGTGTCCATATCAAGCTTATTTTCTTTTCCGTTCGGCTATGTTGGATGTAAATGTAAGCAGTCATGTTCAGTTAAATTGTAGATATTAAACCAGATACCTCGTGTAGGGAGATGTCTCTTTCTCTGCGCATTAAAACATTTGTACCATTTCACTCTTTCATGGTGCCATAAGTTGTATTTTTGAAGGCAACATTTTTTTTTAATTTCCGCACATATTATTTAAAACGGCATCGTATTACATATCGGAGATTGAAGTAGTTTCTTACTGAAGTCATAAAAAATTGGTCTTTACTCGCTCTTTAATTTTTTACATGAAAATCCCAACTAGTGTTAAATCCTGAATAACCGTAAAAATTTTGGCCGAATCCTAAATTCCCGGTATGATAATACACTTGTAGAACCTATCTACAGTATATGTATTGTTAACATGATGTCGTTCAAATAATGCATGAAATATTTGGCACTGGACGTTATTTCTCTTGTTCGTGTGCCTTTAGTGATGCTGAAAACCTGAAAATTTATTAAAAAACCAGATAACCCGTTTATGATCTGAAGAGCTTATAAAGTATTAGAACTGTTGACAAACGGGAAGTCAGTTCTGCTGAAAGCCCGCCGTGCAATATTCCGATTAATATAAAAGGCATCATCGGAGTTTAATAGTACAAAATAATTTACATAGTAAACGATTAATTCAACTCTAGAATTATTTGCATGTTCGCTCTAAATGAGTATGAAATACTTGCAACTGGACAATAAGCAATTTCAGTCAAAAGTTAATTTATATGTTACAGATTAAATTTGCAATTATGATAATCATTAAAAACCGGCAATTATGATAATCATTAAAAACAGGCAATTATGATAATCATTAAAAACCGACAATTATGATAATCATTAAAAATACGGTGACCTATAGTTGTTAATTTCTGTGTCATTTGGTCTCTTGTGGAGAGTTGTTTCATTGGCAATCCTACTCCATCTTCTTTTTTATATTGAACTTACTAATGCTAATAAATGACAACTTCATCACCTGTGCCCCCATCATAGAATTGCCGTAAACGTTATTGATTTCATTTAGGACATACGTTTAGCGCTAAAAGACGTGAGACGTTCTGGCGTTTAAAAGTGGACACGTTTTGGCGAATAACAATTATCGGACACGTTTGGGGTTATGAAATCAGACACGTTTGGGGAATATTGGAAATTACGGACACGTTTGGGGAGAATAGACACGTTTGGGGGGAAGGACACGTTTGGGAGTGTTACATATATAGCAGAAGATATGGGGTAAACGCCGATATACAGCAACCAAACGACACAAATAACAAACACTTCTAGAGATCAACATACGGTCTACAATACATAGAGTTAAATGTCTTTATCTTATGTCAAGCTTTATATCACCCCGGCTCTAGAAGAATGGCGAAACAGTTCATAATACTAATAAGAATCTGCCGTCACTAAATTCCCCTAAAGGACAAAAACATAAAATCTGACTAAAGACAACCACTGACGACATTCCTAGCCTAGAACTGACGCAGGAATATATTACGGGCTTAATTTGACGTTGATTAAAGAGCAATCATTGTCAGTTTGCAGAAACCAGTTATTTTACAATAAATTTATTTCATGGATTTGTGATTTAATTTTCCTGAGAAATCATTCAAGTTTATATGCAAATAAAATTTATGGTTTCGAGTAACTAAAATGTGTGCGTGCTTATGTGAATATATAGAAAACCTGTAAATTTGGGTGTCTGTCCAGCATGGAGATTTTAAGATTTATAAATGCATTGTAAATAAGGCAAAACATGTGATGCTCTGATACAAATCTAATCCTCACCTTCAGAATCCTGCTAATGTCAGACAAAAATTTAGGCAAATTTCAAGAGATAAATGATATTCAATGAATTAGAGCCTTGTCCGCACTTATCCTTACAATCAAAATCTCAAGATATTTTTGTTTATATAAAACTCAATTTTGACTTCTGATTGGTCCCATAATATTATGTGAAGGAAATCCCCAACCTGTGTATGCAACTACTTACTAATGTAGTACAATAGCCTAGAATTTACATTCATTTGGTTTTTTTTTTGTCCACATGATGCAATTATATACCTCATTGCTTAACAATAACAGACACATGTTCTGGTACACCAAAACTGGTACCTGCCACCTGATTTCATGTATGCGTATTTTAAAATAAGTATATGGCAAAGAATTTAAAAAAGAGGAAATTCAATTCAGAAACTACAAATTTGAAATAAAGATCAAAGATAAATAATAAATTCGCAAGACAAACCCCAATTAAATGATAATTATTTGTGTGAATGAAAGCAGTGCCACTGCCGATATTATCGGATTACCCGTTGTAAATTTTGATAATAAACGCGGACAATAAGCGACAACATTGAACTTATCCTTGGTCATCTGTGATTAAGATATAATTAGCAGTATGCAGTATTTAACCTTTTATAGTTACTTTCAGGAATAATAAGTTGGGGAGGAATAACCTACACTGAATGTGCACAACCACTTCAACCAGGTGTTTACACAAAAGTATATAACTACGTTGATTGGATATTGCACAATATATACGAAAATACGTGATCCAAAACCAAAAAGAAACCATTGTTTAGGACAACAGATACTTACTCTTGATGGAACAATTGTTTTGACGACAAGGCTTACTTACTCTTGATTATATAAATTAGTTTTGTAAACTGTCAATCATTTTCAACAAACACGTTATTCAATTGAACCATATAAAAAGATCATTGTACGGTTTTTTCATCTCTCAAATCTTCATCTACTAGTATTAAATTAATGAAATGTTTACACGTACAATTACTACATTAATATGGTTTCCAACAATGTATGTCTGAAAAAAGTAAAATCACAAAAATACTGAACTCCGAGGAAAATTCAATCGGAAAGTCCCTAATCACATGGCAAAATCAAATGACAAAACACATCAAACGAATGGACAACAACTGTCATATTCCTGACTTGGTACAGGCATTTTCAAATGTAGAAAACGGTGGATTGAACCTGGTTTTATAGCGCTAAACCTCTCACTTGTACGACAGTCTTATCAAATTCCGTTATATTTACAACGATGCGTGAACAAAACAGACATTATAAATAAAATAGTCAAAATATGGGTACAGCAGTCATCACTGTGTTACAATATCAAAACAAACAATTATTTACAAAAAAGAACAAAAGCATCTTTCAAATTAAAAACCACATTCATTGCTTCGCGTGTCTGACGTCAGAAAATGTAAACGTCACATAAGAAGAAATTTTGTCATTCAATGTTTATTCAAAACAATTTTATAATTTCACATGTGGAATGTTGGTATACAGGGTTAAAAAATCAAAAGTTATGTTAGAATTAATTTCAGAAATAGACCGAGATTTAAAATTGTCCAGAAGTTCTTGACTTGTTGTTTATAACTGGCTATTTAGTAAAGACATTAAAACCTTTACAGTGTCTGACAATGCCGCGTTGCTCTCCTTGTTTACCCGAGAAATCGATAGTCATTGGAAGCGGACTCCGAAAATGGCAACAGAATAAAGTGCGACGTTGACTAATCGCTCATGACAATAATATCACCTACTTATAGTAACCTTCACAATAACTCTAAAGATGATTTATTACAACGCAAAGATTCTGTTCTTACCAAACATGATCTCTTTTTAAAGCAGCAGTCTAAATCCCCATCATTCATTCTGGACCCACTTTATAAATATTAAAATATGTATCAAGTAAAAGAGAGGCGAAAGATACCAAAGGGACTTTCAAACTCACAAGTCGAAAAATAAACTGACAACGCCATGGCAAAAAAAGAAAAGAAAAATTCCAAAAGACAAACAACAGTACACAAAACACAACAAAGAAAACTAAAGACTGAGCAACACGAATCCCACCAAAAACCAGCGGTAATCTCAGGTGCGCCGTAGTTATGTTCTGTAAAGTGGTTTTTCGGAATGAAGGATGGGAAGGTTAGAATGACCTGGAAGAGAGGGTATGTTAAATATAGGCAAACGTTTTGCTTTGTAATTGGTCCCCTACATGTCTTTCCAATTATTATTTCAATGATTCTTTATTTAACGTGCAGAGAGACTGACACTTGACCTACATGGCGCATCTAATGCAACATCCCCATTCTGGCTGGACGTGGCTGAGTATTCACACACTCAAAGGGCAAAGCAGACATCCAAACGACGGGTTATAATTCCATATGGGTGAATAACAAGATTTTAAAATTATTCCGATGATTTCAGTCAACACCTGGGATAACCCTTATTGATACCATATCCAAGAATGCTGACAGTTACTGAAATCAAACGCAAAGTAGTACATGTAACTTCTGGTCTACATCATGCCTTCTTACACTGTAAGATGCACCCCTGTACCTGTATATAGTTTTCAAATATCAACGCCATAGCGACAATAGTACAGGAAGAAAGAACATTGTGCACCAGTCTGTTAAATCGTAAAACAGTATCCTTTCTCAATATAATTTCAAATATTTCTTTAAAACGTACAATATAAATGAATTAAGCCAGTTGTTCTTTTGAATGATTTGATTTGCGATCTTCTCGTAAAAATGTTAATATTGATATTAGAATAATTTTGTATTTAGTTTAACAGTCTTTATTATTGAAAAAAGAGAAAATAAACATTGGAAATGTATAATTATAAATGAAAGTCAAATATGGATTTGGATTCGGAAACAACCTTCCGAAAAAAAAAACCTTTTATGAATCCGTCTTCCAAATTTTAATTTTGTATTTGAATATCTGCAGACGTCCAAGGCAATTCAACTTTCGCGAATAGAGTATGCTTCGGACAATTCATTTCCAATTTTACTGTTACAAATTGACAAGTTCTAAATCCCCGGATATGTTGATGTAAAAACAACGAAAGCTATTTTAAGCATAGGAATTAGAGACTATGTCTATGTTTTGCCGATTTTCACTTGGACTGCTCGGATAATAGTCAAATTAAGACAACAGAAAAATGGTAGACCAATATAGTAAATCCAAATCGACAGTAGATCAAAGTAAAATGTGTGATGTATAAACCATTATATTGAAAACTACACCAAAAGAAAATGACTTCATATATTGATTTCTTGGCTTACTCAACTCTACAAAAATGTAAAACAGGTAAATTAAATAAAAGGTTATCACGGTTTAGACTGTTCGCGATATTATACATGGCATACCAAAATTGATAAATTCATGTCCTAAAAGATTTTTTAATTACTTTAAAAGTCTGTTGTGTACATTTTCACCATGGCAAAATACCTTAAAGCAATGTTTGATGTATATACGAAACATACGTGTTATATATTTATATAAACAAATCAAACAAAAGTTCAGTCTTTTATGTAATTAAATAGATTTTAATACAAAAGAAAGGATATGTATAGGGTTTACATCCATGACACAAAATCAGTATAACTTATGCACAGCAAAAGACACATGCCCATTCGACAACGAGCTGAAAACGTACGCCGAAACAGGGTCTTCCGAAACAGAAATAACCCACTGGATTATATGGAGGATGATCAAATAGTATGTAGATATAGACTTTCACGCCAACTGATACATGAATTATATAGAATGTTTCAAAATTACTTAGAAGGCCAACCGCAAAATCTCGTGATTTTCAGTGCTTTTTTCAAATTATGGCAGCACTCATGTTTTATGCCACTGGTAGCTTTCAGGTTGTAAATGCCGATGTTTATAACATCCAGACCAAGTATATCCAAAATAAGACGTGATGTTACCTCATGTTTAAAGATGCCAACTGACCAGGCTGGACTTCAGAATATTATAACAGGTTTTTATGAAAAGACAAACTTTCCTAATGTAGTCGGTGCCATTGACGGTACATATATTCGCATAAAAAAGCTCCAATAGAGGATGAACACCTCTTTATATATATATAAAAAAACTACCATTCTATTAACGTTCAAGCAGTTTGTGATTCAAATATGAAGTTTTTGAACATTGTCTCAAAATACCCTGGTGCAACTAATGATTCTTTCATTCTGTTTAATTCAAATCTTTATGAATTATTTAACTCAAGAGAGATAAGCATTGGCTGGCATTAAGGGGGCAGTGGCTATCCGTTACGGCCATGGTTGACCCCAATTCGAAATGCAAGTACCGAATCCGAGGAACGCTACAATAAGGGATATATGAGGGCAAGAAGTGTTGTCGCAAGGAGCTTTGGATTGTTGAAGTCTAGGTTCAATTGCTTGACAATAGTTCTCGAACATTTTTGTACGGAGCTGCAAAAAGCTGTGACATAACCGTTGGTGTAGCAGTACTGCACAATATGTGCATAAACCATGGCATTCCACTTCCGCCAGATGGACATTAGTGTGACCGTGGACATATAGGAAGGCAATAGTACTGTGATCATCTAAACGATGGTGCAACTGTACGCAGAAGACTTATAAATGGTCGCTTTACTCAATTAAATACATTTTCTATATATTTTTTTGGTTTCAATTTGTACTAATTTAGAGGTTTTTGTTAAGACACAATGAATGAGATTAAATCTTGCTTCAAACAGTGGAGGTTAGGAAAAAGTAAAATCACAAAAATACTGAACTCCGAGGAAAATTCAAAAAGGAAAGTCCCTAATCAAATGGCAAAATCAAAAGTTCAAACACATCAAACGAATGGATAACAACTGTCATATTCCTGACTTGGTACAGACATTTTCTTATGTAGAAAATGGTGGATTGAACCTGGTTTTATAGCTAGCTAAACCTCTCACTTGTATGAAAGTCGCATCAAATTCCATTATATTGACAACGATGCGTGAACAAAACAAACAGACACAATAGGTAAAAATTTCAAAAATAGGGGTACAGCAGTCAACATTGTGTTATCATCTTAATCACTATAAAAACAAACAAATGTAACGAAGAAGCACAAAAAGGCATACATCAAATTTAACATCCTCATTTTGCTTATATTATACGATTTTATTTATCTATGTAAAATCCACCCATAAAGGATGGAAGGTTTTAAGTACTAGCGTAAAATCGCGTGTTTGAAATTCGCACAGGTAGACATAAAATAATTTTGTTGTTCAAAGTATGACAGGATACATAAATACAGAGTCACGTAAAATGGATATCACAAAAAATAGACTTAACAGTAAAAGTAATATTAATAAATAAAATAATTGTGTGGTTCAAAGTATGACGGGATACATAAGTACAGAGTCACGTCAACTGTATATCACAAAAAACAGACTTAACAGTAAAATTGCAGACACAAACAAGAATCTAGCCACGGTTGACAAAACTTCTTTAATATAAATATTGTCAATGGATGTAAAACAAACGATAATTAATCAATCAATTATTCTGTACATGTTGATGCCATACCTTTTAAATCATACAACGCAATGAAAAATTGGATACATTTTATATACATAACAAAACGTTTAAACAAAATTACAAACACACATCAGCAAATGTTAAGAGTCGTAGTGTATTCAGCGATTTACAAGAGATTGACCACCGAGGCGGTCCTCTGCCATCTTGGAAAAAAGGCAAACCTAAGTAAAGGTTTTTTTTAACCAGAACAATATTAACTCGATCGGCAATATATAGTATATCTTTTAAATTTATAAAGTACATATTTACCTTCATCCTCCCAAACCCAGCCCCAATCAACAAACCATTTGTACATGTCTGAAAAGAAAATCCGAGACTACTTGCAAACCTCAAGATCTTTAACAGTAGGGAAAAGGTACTTGAAACCCGTCATACTATTCGACAATAAAGAAAGGGATCTACCTAAAAGACCAAGTCCGCCATCTAGAAGACCGTCAAATTA